TATAATGCACCTACTCTTATCATTACTGAAGCTCCCAACTCATGTATCATGTTGGCAAATACATTTATGAAAACAAGTTTCTTGTTCACATATAAATTGGATCATTAAATATTGTAAATTTTCAACACAGCAAAATACAAAATTTGAGCAAAATCGATTAATCCTGAGAAGTTAGATTATAAAAGAGTAGTATATATAAAACTCAGGAACTATTCATCCAATTTCGTTCAAATTTTGGATGTTCCCATATGGAATTAGATACTTTAAAATGATCAAAAACTGTATTCCTTACAATTCAAAATTTTTCAGACTGTTATTAAATAATAAATATTTACTAAAAGTTATTTTTTCCATGGAATTATCTTTGGAATCATGCTCACAAATTTTTCAAATCCCTTAAGAAGCTCTCAAGCTGTGGCGAAATACGAAAAATAAAATTAACACTTGGAGCTCCAAACTATGGATCGCTCACCCGATCAAACTATTGGGACCATATTTCCCAGATTACGGCTACCCCTTATGTTACGGGGGTTAGAAAATCGAATCCGTTGAACAAAAGTTCTGTTTATTCAGAGAAAGTATGTTTTTGTGTCTGGTTACGTAACTTAAAATAAAATATCGTCTGCACCAATTGATCAGCATATTTGACGTCACGCCTTTGAACTATTAAGATGGAGCGCTAGAACGTGATGATCCGATTATTAAATCAAAAGTTATTCAGGGTAGTCCTCTTTTTTTCACGGTACGTTAATTTTAAAAATTTACGACATCTTACAGAGAAAATTTGACTAGGAAAAACTATTCATGTTATCTTCTCATGTCCACAGTTTTCCTGTAAAGATAATGCTAATCATAAAATACCGATTTTATAAACCTCTTGAATCCGGTTACTATATCGTCAGGAAGGTCTTTTCAAGATAAACCATTAAAAAAAGGAAAATTATTTATTACTTTCAAATCTAAAAATTTCATCTCGCGTTATGGAAATTGAAGAAAATCATAGTTCTTTTTTTATCGGCACATATACCCACATTTCAAAAAGTCAAAATTGAAAAAATATCCAGAAATTTTTTCGTTATAAACATGGATTAAAAAAAAAAAGTTTCCTTACTCCAATATGGGCAGGACCCTTAAAAATACAGCTATAATAAGAAAAGAATTTATTTTTGAATGTTTGGCCTATTGAAACTTCTGAACAGACAGAAACAATGACAAAGAGTAGTAGCAGTTTTTTTTTTAATATTCCAAAACGAAAAGTCAGAAAAAATGAAAGCTGTTTCGCTAATTAAAAAAAAATTATTTTTAATTATTTGTCATGATAAAGAGTTTTAATTGCTACGGATTTCTAAGCTGAAAAATGCAATACCTTTGAACAAAAAAATTTCAATGAATATCTTTAACATTGGTTACAGAAAAATTATCTTCACGATTAAGAAAATATAAATCTCATAACTATTTTTTAAAAAAGAGAAAAAAGTGTAAATTAAATAAAATTAAAGTAATCTTATGTGAAATGTGTTTCAACAATTTCATCTTTGATTATTTTCGCGTCTCTTTTGGGTACCACTTAGATTACTACTCCACCTTCTTTAATTCTTCTAATACCCTTGACACCAGTTTGAAGTTCTGCTGAATTAATATGTGCTTTAAGAGATTTTTCCGTCTCTTCTGGAGTACAAACAACGGTCGGACGCTGTAGGAGGACCCCACTTTATGGGCCCCATCTTGTACGTTGCTCTCTGCGATTTCCGCATATGATTTTTGCGCTTTCCTGAATTATTTGCTTTAAGGCGATCTGCGCTAAATCTTCGAGTCCTTTCGTGTAGACCCAAGACCTCATTTTGCCTGTTAACAAGATCGTCATACGCGAGGAGGAATTTTAAAAAGACAGAAATATTTCTCATTGCTTTTCCTTGATGAGCCATTTTTATTAATGTTAGTTTATTTCAACTAAAAATATACATTAAAGTATGAATTGCTTTAAAAATCAAATGCTGGTTTGATCACAGACAGAGACAATAGAAATGTATAAGGTTTTAAATGAAAAGTTTTTAGGGAAATAACGTTTAAAAATTGTCTTAAATTATCTCTTATTTTTTATTGTTCACTTCCAAAATATTTTATTTAATTATTATTAGAAGATGATTTTAAGTCCTTCCATTTTTATTTGAATTCCTTTTAAATTTTTCCGCCGCCCAACTACACAAAAATAAAATAAATTATTTTTTAACTCTAAATTTTCGACTTCAATGAAATCAACAAAAAACAACAACAAAAGAACGCATGTTTTAGATAATGAAGTTAAACCAGAACGAAACAAAATAGGTCGCCTAAAGAAAAAAAATATTATTAAAAAGGAATAACCTATACACGATTACCCTTTATAAATAAAATCCTTTCATTTCAAAGAATAATAAGAGAAAAAGGCATTTCATAAAAAAGATCATTTCAGAAGCATTTTAATTCAGCAAAAAGAATAAATCCTTGAGAGAAGCTTAATCAAAAGCAAAATATTAAGTACTGTAAAGCGGTCTTTGCAACAAAATAATAAAGTTTCAAATAGTTGACGATTCCACCCCCCCCNCGATTCCCCCCCCCCCCCACTCTTTTTGGTCATCACGTTTGACGGCTTTGAATCAATCCTATCAATTTTTCGTCTTTCGGTACATTAAAAAAAATTGTATATGTTGTTAAATGCTGTTACAACGTGATATAAAACAATACTTGTTGAGAGTGCTTGGAGTTATTTTTGAGAACTTTTATCAATGTTCTGGGAAAGACGGTATGCGATTTCACTGTATCAGAAGGTGATGGGAGACTCATTGGAATATACTCACTATATTCTGACGAAAACTGAGTGTTAGGGGGCGTGGCTAAACGAGCAATTTTAAATATTCATTACAAAATAACTTAACTGAAATAGGTGTCAATTGTCATAAAAAGGTTTGAAATTCATTTTAGAAAATAAAATAAATACCACGCAGGTTCCTCGCTGCATCTTAGTAAGTGAAAATTTGATAAGGAGATCAAAAGTTAGTAAGCTATTCCGTTTTCTAAATGACGCACTGTACATAAATACAAAAATATAATCACGCAGCAGTGATATAAGATTACAAAAGTGAAATAAAAATAACATAAAACACAATGAATAAAACTGTATGTATCTAAGGGTGGGGCAAACAAACATAGTTTTCGTATCCAAGTTGAATAAACTAGTCTACTTACCTATAAAATCACGTTAAAAAAGTTTCCGTAAAATTGAAGGATATTTAGGGGTCACTCAAATCATTTGAATTTTACTAAATACGGATTATTTAATATTTACGACTTTTGTCGAAAATGTATTGGATATCTATGAATGTTTGTATACTTTAAGTCCATCTATTTTCAAAACACTCTATCATTCTTTAGCCAACTTATAAATTAAACCAACTAACTGGTAATACTTTGTTTTTGTTTAAATTTGTCATATGTGCCAACCTTTAAAGAAATATGCATCACACAAAACATGTTAATTTAAGAGAAATTTCAATGATTGGAGCAGCCACGAAATATTATTCAAATTTGCCTGCTTGAACTTGATTATCTTAGGTAAGTAGACAAGTTTAATCAACAAAGGCACAAAAACTTACTTTTTGTTTACCCACCAGTATACAACTAAACAACTGCAATACGAAAAAACTATTACATTTATTACAAGAGCCAAGTTATTTTTAAAAAAAACACACACACACACAAATTCAAGGAATATAATGATTTGTTAAAATATTTTCCTTTTTAAAAATTTAACACATTACATCACATGAGGAAAATGTCAAAACTGTACTTAAAATTATTTGGTAAAAAACGTTTTTTAAATAAATCAATATTAATAGCGTAAAATGGTACAACAAGTTGAGAAAATTAAAATTTGTAAAATTATAATAAAAACTGTAGTAATAACAGAAAAAAAACTAGATGACTAACTAACATAAATTTTATGTTTCGTAAAAAGAAGAAAAAAAATCACGCTTAAATATGGGTTTTATTGTGAATTTTCAGATGTTTTTAAAGGGGGAAGGTGTGTAGGAAATAGCCCAGCTTACTACAGCATTACAAGGAGAGGATTTCCCACCAGAAGTATGAGCTTCAGGAAAAAAATTTTTTTTACCAGTATTAACAAAACTGTGTACATTCAAACAGACGTTCGGTAAAAAACGCATATTACATGAACTACAAAAATAAAGTTTCTGATAAGTATGCAAGCGGCTGTGCTTAGCCAGATGAATCCTCAGTGTACAAATATAATTATACACATTGCATGAATAAGTTTACGCACCAGTACAAACACGGCTGTGCTTAGCCAGACAAATCCTCTACAGAAAAGTCTAAATACACAATTTACATGAAAAGGTTTAACAACAATATGAATGCAAAATTGTTTAGAAGACTTTTATTTTAATAATGAAAAACTCTTATTACAAAAACTACAAGAATTAAGATTCACCAGTATGAACAAATTTTTGCACAGTCAGAAGGCACTNAAAAACTTTTCAAGCACTTTACAAAAATTTTCAAGCACTCAAAAAATTCATATTCAATCAATGATATTATTGAAAAACAAAAATTTTATAAAGTTTTAGCATTAAAAAAAACCCAAAAAGAAACGGGCGTAAATCGAAACAATCAGTACTTTCCCACATCACCAAGTGAATTCAACTTGACCCTGAACCAAAAGTACCCTTACCCCCTACGTCAAAAAAAGTGTTAGAAGTAAAATAAAATAAACAACAAAAAAAAATTAAAAAGAAAAACATTTCATAAGGATCTGATATTCTCTATCCGAATTGGAGCACTCGGGTTTCGGTTTCAAGAGTGCGCGCATGCGCAAGTCATAACGTGGATACGACATGAAGTTCGCGTGAATGATTACGTAGCAAACTCCCGATTTTTCGTAAAATGCATGGGATCCACCAGATATCACTGAAGGGAAATAAAAAATTATTCGGAAAAAAGCACTTTTTAAAAACGCCAGCTGAAAAAAGCACCTTTAAAAGCTTTTAAAAACGAAATCCCCAAAAAAGCACCTTCAAGTACTTTTTACAAACGCTACGCACCCTGTCTTATTACAAAAACTACAAGAATTAAGATTCACCACTATGAACAAATTTTTGCACAGTCAGAAGGCACTTCTGTGAAACAAACTTATTAGATAAGCTACAAAAACGAGGTTTTTCACCTATATGAAAATGTTTGCGTTTAGCCAACTATTATGAGAGAAACTTTTATTACATGTACTTTAAGAGTCAGATTTCTCTACAGCATGAATATGGCTATGCCTAGTCAGAGAGTGTTTCTGTGAAAAACTTCTATTACATACATTACAAGAATAAGGTTTCTCACCAGTATGAACGCGCATGTGTGCATTAAGGTGGGTATTCTGAGAAAAAGTTTTATTACATATACTACAAGAAAAAGGCTTCTCACCAGTATGAACACGGCTGTGCCTAATCAGATCACTATGATGCGAAAAACTCTTATTACACATACTACAAGAATAAGGTTTCTCACCAGTATGAACACGGCTGTGCGAAGTCAGATTACTCTTCCTTGAAAAATTCTTATTACATATACTACAAGAATAAAGTTTCTCACCAGTATGAACAAGCTTGTGCATAGTCAGATGACTATTACATGAAAAACTCTTATAACATATACTACAAGAATAAGGTTTATCACCCATATGAACACGACTGTGCCCAGCCAGACTGGAAGACCTTGCAAAACAAGTGTTGCATGTACTATACAAGAATTAGGTTTCTCACTAGTATGAACATGTCTGTGAGCATCTAAATCTTGCTTCTGCCAAAACCTCTTATTACATACTTTACAAGAAAAAGGTTTTTCATCAGCATGAACATCAAGTGTAAGTAAATTGTTGCTCATTGAGATAGATATTGTTCCACTTTGTATTATTTGTGTGTAACAAAATTAACTTATTACACTTTCATTGGTGTTGAAATTTTTGAGAATGTTTCTCTGTTGAATGAATGATGGAAATACTTATGGATGCAAAAGGATCTGAAAGCAAAAGGAAAGAAATATAAAATGTAATGTTCGGAAAAAGCTCTGAAAGCACACTGTTAATTAATGAATAATAAGTAAATATAAAAGTCTTATTAATAAGTAATAAAAATTTCTTTCTTCAACCATTCATTGTGGCAGTAAAAACAAATTTTAAGATGCTAGATAATGTTTTTGTAGCTATTATTCGAGGTTATCTTCAAGAACCACAAAATGCAGATTTATGTATCAAATTTTAATTAGCAGAATGGGGGGAAAAATTTAAAAATATGCAGTTTCATAAAGCTTATTACAAAATTTAGTTATATACAGGGTTGGCAAGTTTTTGACACATGATGGTTTTTACCGGTTTATACCATGGTTTTTACCGTCATGTCAAAAACCCTTCTGTCAAAAACGCATAGTTTTGATAAAACTGTATTTTAATTTGAGTTTAACTTCTTATGATTTAAAATTAATTCATTTTTGGGCAATAAAATTAGAAAAAAAGTTGTTAAAAAATATTTAAGAGCAGATTTTTGCATTTTCCCAACATGATTATATCAAATCATACTATTTGAAGTAAAATATTAGGACACTAAGCAAAATTTTCAACATTTCCAAGCATCATTTTGTTTGGCATATTACATTACTGAGAATGTTAAGTCATTCCTGACTTAGAGTTTGTTAGTAGTTACAAGTTTTGAAAGTTTTGTTTAGCTTATTTCTAATATTTAAGAAATGCCAAATTTTAATTTATTAATAGTTCCAAGTTTTTTTGTTTGTTTATTTCTAACAATTTAGATGTGCAAAATTTTGAATCCTTTGCAAATCAAGCTATAATGATAAAAGTTAAGTATCACTATTTTCAATAAGTATGTTACAATATTTCTGTATGAATGTATATCCTTTTATAAGAATACATGTATATAGTTGCAAAATCAATAGCAATCGTTTACAACATTCATTTATAAAGGCAATTAAGTGAAAATAATATCTTGTCCGCTATATGCCATAAATTAAAGAAAACAGTAGGTTTTTGACAGTTTTTACCGGTAAAAACACGGTTTTTACCACTGTCATGTCAAAAACCAGCTTTTGACGGCAAAAACCCAACCCTGGTTATATAGTAACTAGTATATAACCAGTACTATATTAAACTAGTAACTATATAGTAACTAGTTTCTGATAAATATTGTAGAGAAAATTGGGAAAAATCATGCATTTTTTGTTATTTAGAATGACAATCAAAATAGCAAAGGAAAAAAAAATCTCTTTTTAAAAGATAGAGCACTTCCTACAAACCCCGAATAAAAATGGCACTTCTAAGAAGTTTTAAAAAACGTAAATAAAAACAAACACCTTTAGTCACTTTTTTAAAATGCTACGCACTTTAAACAGTGTACAATAGTCTTCTTTAATTCCAAATTGTGTGTACATACAGTACAGTTAAAAAATAAAAACTGTTTATCAAATAAAGTTACTGGAAAGGGAAGTTTGATTGGCGAAAATGAAGGTTTTAATTTCATTAGAAACCTTTCAAATTTATTGATTAAATATGTATCAAGTAGGTGGAGAAAATATTAAAATTAAAAAAAGAGGTGAATTGCACAAATAGAAAAATAGCACCTGATAAATGGTTTTCCAATTCCGTGTGGATAAAGTATAAAGCAAATATTTCTGTTTTAGCTATAAAGTTTCTGTTTTATATGAATAGCAACATATTAAGCAGTAACAAAATAATAACTAAGCACTCATAAATAAATTATTTATTTGTCAAAAAAAATAAGACTTTTTTTATCACAGAAAAATGTGAATCAAAGATGACTTTGCCTACCTTTATTACGAAATTTGCCACTACAGGCAAATTTATAGCCACCAATAAAGTTGCCTCCAGTGGCCAGTAGACATCAGCTAAATTTTCCAGTTTTGCCCTTTAAGTGCAGTTAAAAACCAAATTCTTAGCCCAAAATATGTCACTATATTAATTGACAACAAATTTTAATTCAGGATAATAAGTTATTAAAATTTTGTTTTTTGCGATAAGAATATGATTAAAATTCGCAATGTGATCAAACACAGAGTTTCAATTAAAATAATGCAGTTATGGCAAGATTTAAGAATTTCAAAAAGAACTTTTGGACCTTTATTAGAAGCTTAAAGGATGTAGCTGAATCTTATCACCAAAAGATTGATAAAGCTTATACCAATCTTAAACTCGTTCTTGAAGAAGGTTGTATTTTTTGGAGCTCTGTAAATTTGGCAAATAATTTATGTATATTTAAACAACTTAATTAAATTCTTATGTGAAATGATGGTACGGCAAGATTTAAGGATTTCAAAAAGAACTTTGAGAATCTCTATTAGAACCTTAAAGGTTAAATAAATTTGCAATAGATAATTAGTCAAACTTTCATTAAGTGACATAGCTAAGTCAACCATTAATTGAGTGTTAAACCAAAATGTAAATTATTTCTACATAAAAGCAGAACCATGTTTGCTCTGAATGAATATATATATTTATTGAAACAAAATAGAGGTCAACATGGGTGATGTACTTAGTACTGGAGAAATATGAGTTCTTCTCAAATTTAATTGACAATACCAAATGAATTTCAATCGTCTCTACTGATGGAGGGAAACAAAATGGTTGGGATCAATTATTGCAGTATTCTTGCTGGCTTGATTTGACAAATTACTCACATAATCTGTTATAAAATTCATTAGCAAAGATGAAATCAAAATCGCCTTCATCAGTGTAGCAACAATGTTAGCATAGACAAAGATCCTCAAAAGTTAAATTGTTAGCGTACTCTTATAAAATAGCTTAAATTAAGTTAAACCGCTTAAATTAGATTTCTGATTCTTGCAAGCAACCAAAGCGATGTATGCATTAAATTGATAAGTAATGTCAGAAAAAGTGTGCGAATACAGTAGGAAAGTACTTTGAAGAAATAAAATTATTGTTTCATTTTTAATTTGTAATTGACCTACTCTGGGAACTTTTTGATTCTACAACATAATTATGCACAAAAAAATTTATAAATAATAAAAGATAGAACTAATTTAAATAAATAAACAATTATGTCGTTTTGGTTTAACAATTTGGTCTAATAAACAATTATGATTTAGATTTGCTTTTAGCTTTTACTTCGTAATATAAAAATTAATTTACTATACTAAGACAAGAGAAGAAGTTCGTTTAAACTAAAATGACTTTTTTCTAATTTAACTATCCACTCAAAAAATTAATAATTGATAGCATAGTTTTTAGTATACTCTTGACTGCAACATGAGGTCCTTGATATCTTTTAGAGATAGTCAAAAAGAGCTCTCTAAACAAAAGCCACTTACAAATACCCTTCCCTAAGGGTTTCACTGTAATATAACATAATTTTACCTTTCTTGATTCACATTCCTTACCGAAGCAATCAGAGAAAAACAACACTCTCTCCCTTGATGGAGGAGGGTTTATTTTTATACTATTTCGCTTTGGGACCTAATTCCAAATCATTACTTCATAAAATCTGCTACAAATTTAATTACAATTACATTAAATACTTATCGGTAATTATATAGCTTTTTAAACTATTTAATTCATTTCATCGTGATAAAAACCAAATTTTGAATTCTGATTATTTGTTGCTATAGGTCTTTGTCACGCTTTGAAGGTTTAGGCTTTATATATTTGCTTGTAGCTCTTATAGATTAAGAAGATACAGCAGGGGCTCTTGACTTTTTGGGAAAGAACTGTCTTAGCAGCCGCGATATTATTATGTTAACCCAACAAATGTGTAGCACTGCGGCTTCTGAAATTGGGAAGAGCTAAAGCTATTTTCACGGCAAGTTTTGACCGAATAGCTGCAGCTGAATTTTGAACGGGATATGAGAAGTATATGATGAACGGTATTTGTTGTATTAAACGAAGTAAGTGTATTTTAATCACTAATCTTCTGTTTGTATTTCTTATGAATAACTTTTTATATGTTTAGAATGTACGTTAGGGCTTTTGATTACTAGTTTTTTTCTCTTGTCATTTTTTTCGCTGTCACTTGAACTGTAATATCTAAGCCTATTGTTATTGCTTGCTAAAGTTCGCTATTCGTGTTCTTACAGGTGTCAGGGATATAATAATGCACCTGCACAGGAATCTTGTAATCATGAGGTGAAATGTTTGAAGTGTGGTGAGTTGTGCTTAACTCATATGTGTGATAGGAGCAGAAACGTCTCTGCTATGTGTGCAAACTGTGAAAGTGAGCATCCCTAAAACTACAAGAACTGTCCAAAATATCCTAAAGCCTAGTTTAAAAGATAGAGAGTAGAGCACACTAAAGGTTCCAATGGGGCAAAGCGTAAGGCTCCAATGGGGCAAAGCGTGCTAGAAATAGAGCAAACTACTAATGTAGATAAAGCAAGATCTGTTATGATAGAGCTCAGAAATGTTGTTAGTACAATTGAAAAAAGAAAGCTTAATTGACTTGCTGAAAATTCTGAGATCCATTACTCATGATGAACAATATAACAGTAAAAAAAAACCACTTGAACTTATTCAATTAGACTTACAGACAGAATGTATATAGGAGCAGTTGCGATCCTAGTAAAGAGCAGTTTTAGTCAGAGTGAGTTTCACCTCTCAAACAAAAATGGTATGGTTATGTTTCTATCCTATTAAATTATAACAGTGAAACTATTAAAATAGTTGACCTATATGCACCAACTCTTACCATTACTGAAGCTCAACTACAAGGATTATTCTCTGGTGGTTATGGCACAATTGTAGCTGGCGACTACAATGCGAAGCATGTGATAAGGAATTGTAATTAATCGAATGTAAATGCATAAAATTGAGAAAGTTGGTGAGCAGTGCCGTAACTTCATCCATCGGGATGCTAAACCAAACATTTTTGACAAGAGCCATTTCAAAAACTTTCTGTACTCCATCTCTAACCGTCATTTTATCCATTTATGCATCACGTTGGCGAATATATTTATGAAAACAAGTTTCTTGTTCACATATAAATTAGATTATTAAATATTGTAAGTTTTCAACATAGCAAAATACAAAATTTGAGCAAAATCGGTTATCCTGAGAAGTTAGATTATAAAAAAGTAGTATATATTAAACTCGGGAACTATTCATTCAATTTCGTTCAAATTTTGGATTTCTCCATGTGAAATTAGATACTTTAAAATGATCAAAAACTGTATACCTTACAATTCAAAAATTTTCAAACTATTATTAAACAAAAAATAGTAAATATTGACTAAAAGGTATTTTTTGCGTGGAATTATCTTTGGAATATTATAATCATGCTCAAAAAATTTTCAAATCCCTTAAAAAGCTCTCAAGCTGTGGAGAAATACAAAAAAATAAAATTAACATTTGGAGGTCGAAACTATGGATCGCTCACCCGACCAAACAATAGGGACCCTATTTCCCAGATTACGGCTAACCCCTATATTACGGGGGTTAGAAAATCGAATCCGTTGAACAAAAGTTCTGTTTATACAGAGGAAGTATGTTTTTGTGTCTGATTACGTAACTTAAAATAAAAAATCTTCTGTACCAATTAATTAGCATATTTGAGCTCACATCTTCGAACTATTAAGATGGAGTCCTAGAACGTGATGATCCGATTATTAAGTCAAAAGTTATTCAGGGATGTCCTTTTATTTCACTGTACGTTATTGATACTTATTTACGACATCTCATAAAGGAAATTTGACTAGGAAAAGCTGCTCATGTTAGCTACTCGTGTCCACAGTTTTCCTCTAAATATAATGCTAATCATAAAATATCAACCTCTTGAAACCGGTTACTATATCATTAGGAAGGTCTTTTCAAGACAAACCATTAAAAAAAAGAAAAATTTTTTATTACTTTCAAATCTAAAAATTTCATCTCGCGTTATGGAAATTGAAGGAAATCATAGATTTTTTTTTATCGGCACTTGGAAAAGCTATTCATGTTGTCCCTCATGTCCACAGTCACCCCCCTTTTCCTCTGAAGATAATGCTAATCATAAAATACCAATTTTATAAACCTCGTGAATCCTGTTACTATAGTTAGGATGGTCTTTTCAAGACAAACCTTCTCAAAAATGAAAATTATTTATTAGCTTGAAATCTAAAAATCGCGTTATGGAAATTGAAGGAAATTATCGACTCTTTTCTATCGGCACATACACTTTCTCCCAATAAGTATTTGGACACCTACGGAAATGACTATACCTGCGGTCCTGAGATACGTCACGCCCTTTCATCGGTATATATCGTGTAGGGAACAACATCGGCACTAGTCCCATGCAAGTTGCCTACTGTACTGTTTTGGAGAACAATGTGCTCCCTACGTTGTGGTAGTTTAGCGGGGTGGACACCTGTAACTTCCAAGACGACAATGCCAGCTGTCATAATGCGAGGGTCACCAAGGCCTGGTATGGTGCCAAACGGGTTAATCGAATGGACTGGCCTGCTCAGAGTCCAGACCTGAACCCTATCGAGATCCTCTGGGACGAGTTGGATCACCGAATTAAGGGGGTGTACTACCCGTCCAAAATCGGTGAAGGAACTTACATGTCTTCTCCAAGCCGAGTGGAAGAAAATACCACTAGCCGTCACTCAAGGACTTGTGGAAAGTATGACCCGGAGGCAGGGCCGGATTAACCTATAGGCACACTAGGCACGTGCCTAGGACCTACGAAAAACTTGGGAGAAAAAAATTTGTTGACAAAAATAATTTAGTTTTAAAAAGTGTATTTTTTTCAAGTGTATTTTGCACAAAATTATGAAGATACAAATAAAAATATAATATTTTTCGGTAATAAATTATTTTGCAGAATCTTATGATCTGATATTACTTTTTTGCGATTTTTGGATTCAACGAAATCTTGTATTATGCTGTCGAATTCCAAACTACGCAAAAAGTTGGGTAAACAAATTTGTAAATTAAAATCCATATTAATAAAAACGTAAAAAAAGAACATGCAAGAAAATTTTAGCATATATTTTGAAAAGAGGAGAGGAGTGAGTGAAGGAGGGGGAGGGCCCAAAAACGGCTATGCTTAGGGCCTACGAAAGATATAATCCGGCTCTGCCCAGAGGGCTACCAAATTTTGTTTTTCTCTTCAATTACACGTGTCCAAATACTTATTGGCAGTTAGTGTATACCCACGTTTTAAAAAGTCACATTTGAAAAAATACCCAGAAATTTTTTGTTATTATACCGGTAATGATAGGTATTAAAAACTAAAAATATAATGAATTAGAAATTTTTAAAAAATTATATGGCACATGATGAAATAGCGGCCCAGATAGCTGGTCAAATCTAAAAACATTGTCAAGAGAAAGTACCTACTGTTTGTCTAAGATAGGTACTCTGCCAGACATTCGTCTGGAGCTGTGGCGGTGACTATGGTAACGAGGTATGATTATTTCAAGTAGGGGTGCGGAGTCCCTCTTTCAGACTGGTTTCGGCGAGAGAAAAGGAGACCTCTTCATCGTAGCTACCCTCTCTAAAATGCCCTCTTCTTGTTTCCATAGCACCAGACTTTCGCAGACATAGTGGCTGTTAGAGTACCTATCTTAGACAAACAGTAAGGGAGGAGTAAGGAAGAGAAAGTAGTCGTTGCACATCTAAATAAAAGTATCCATCAGGCCCAAATGAAGAAGTCCAATAATAATAATAAAAAAAAAGGTTGGGAAGCACTAATTTTTATTTGACGATTTTTAAATTGTATTTGAACACAGCATCTTAATATTGGAAGAATTTTGATACATATTTTGGCACAGCATCTTAATATTGGAAAATATTGGTACATATTTTAGCACATCATTTTAATATTGTAAAATCTGGAGCGGAAGGCCGGGCACACGAAATTTCGTGAACCCTGGAGTCGTGTAAATTGGCGATCGCAACACTCGAATACGCCATCTGGGGAAAATATTTCCCGTGATACTTTTNTCCCTTCCCTCTCCTCCTCTTTTCAGTTGTATAGAAATGTACTACGCTATATTTCCTTTTCTTAATATTTTTTCTTTTAATTTAATAAAAATATTTTTTAAAATTTCCTTGATACTTTTCCTTAAAACTAAGTTTAATGTAGTTTTCAGTTCCATGTAGTTTTCCAACTTAAAAGATTTAAATTTATATGAAACTCGAGAGAGAAACTAACGTACTTCCTTCCTCTATGACTTTCCACACGCTAATGGTGAAAGGATGTGAAGTGTTGCCATAGGAAGAGAGTTCTGCTCTACGCCACCTGCAGCCCATTTCGATCGCCAATGGCGGACACCACATCTCAAAAAACAGAATGATGATGGTCAATCCGGTTATTCGGGGTCAACATAATGACGGGAGTCAGAAACAAAATTTCGAAAGTTATTTGAAGATGTAACCAACGTCGACGCTCGAAAACATCCATTACACAAACCTTATGGTGAGAAAAATACGCCGTAGTTTCTTTCCAGGCAAAAATAATTGGATAATGACTAAAAGGTGGATTCAAAAATATCAATGGCGATGAGACGCCATCCCAACCTCCTCACGAGGAAAGAAATAAAATTAAAACCCCACTGGGGAGCGACGTAGACTATGGGTATATGAAATATCGAAATGCATCGACGGCTAGGAGTTCGAAATTTTTCAAAGAAAGCTGCCAACCTT